TCTTAATTTTTTTCCATTGAGGTCATTTGACTAAGAGACAGTGGTATGAAAAGGGTTTTCCTTTTATATCTCCTTTGCCAGACTCCTTAAGAGCAAAGCTTTGGTTTATCTATTGTTTGCCATCATAGTTTTCACTGGAGCCAGGGACAACACTGTCCAGTATGTGTGCTAGCATTTGGTTATACTGTATTTTCTACACTTAAGAAAACAATTATCTATCGGTCTGTCTATCTATCTATCTATCTATCTATCTATGTATCTATCTATCTGGTGTTTTCAGTGTGAGTTTATGTGCACCATGTGTATCCGAGCACCCCCAGAGGCCAGAGGACACCTGATCTCCTGAAATGGGAGCTATAAGTGATTATGAGCTGCCATGTGGGTTGTGGGAGCTGAAACAGCATCTTCTATGTCCTCTATGGGACATCTCTCAGCACTCCAATCCCTTAACCCCTTTTCTTCACTTCTTGATGAGAGCAACAGATCATGTGGGCCTGTTTGCTGCCCAAGCTCACCAGTCCCTGTACCTTCCCTCAGCTCTACCCTCTCCTCAGCCTCAGCCTGACTGGGACCCATGTCAACTTGAGTCACCATGGAAGTTCTAGAGGATCCTAAAGAGGGAGTCCTCTGTATTCCATCAGTGACCCTACTTTCTCTGGATGGCCACATAGCAATAGAACTCTCTCCCTAGAGTATTGTTCCAAATTGCACAGAGAGAGTACCAATCTGGGTAAGCATCCCAGGAAGTACCTGGGACCTCCAGCTGAATGTCTTCCAATGGTCAGACCTACCTCACGAGATTGTCCTTTCATAGGCTTGCTAGTCCAGCTCTATGCCACACTGTAGAGTTCTTATTTCCACAATTAACCAGTATTAGCTTGATGAGTATTTTTATATTGTGTGGCTCCTGTTTAAGTTACTGTGTGGTTTCTCTCTCCTGGATAGACCCACACTACCCATGGCCACTCATACTCCTGAACTCAGGCTACATATTACTTCCTCCATCAAACTTCTCCTAACCTCTGGACTGAGCTCTCCAAATTAGCTAGTTTCCACTGTATCCTTTTTCTTCATAGCATTGCGTAAAATTACCACAACCATATAACAACTGAATGGTTTTTACTTAATGTCTTCATCACTGTACTGAAACATTGAGGGAGAAAAGACAGCTGTGCTGTCTTTTTAAAAGCATGATACCTACTTAGAGTATCTAGTACAATAAAAATAGTTCAGAGATTTTGGGGGCATTTCAAGCAATATTTTCCTGCCTAAATGAAAAATAATGAAAAAATAAATTATCAGTTAGGGGTTTAGCTCATTGGTAGAAGACTTAAATAGTGCACACAAGGTTCTGGGCTCAATCCCCATCATCAAAATAAAAAGAAGGTTGTATACATTTAAAGGTGTATAACATATTTATATATTGTGAAATGATTACCGCTAACAAGTTAGCTAACACCTCTCTCCCTCCCTTTCTCTTCAAGACAAGGCTTTTCTGTGTAGCCCTGGCCCCTGACTGTCATAGAACTCACTGTGTAGACCAGGAAGGCCCCTAACTAACACATCTCACTTTCACTTCACATAATTACTGTAGTGATATATTATTTATTATTTATTAAAGCTTGCCTGAGGATTCAGAAATCAAAGCCAACTTCAAGCTATAGAGATGAGACAGTGCTGACATCTTAAACCCCAGAAGCCACAGAGGTAGGTTTTGGTGGTACACACCTTTAATCCCAGGACTCAGGATTAAGAGATAAAGAGATCTATGGGAAATTGACCCGGCCCTACAAGAAACAGTTCACACAAAGGTGATGCAGCACCTGGGATCACAGGCCTTTAATCCCAGCACTAGGGAGTTGGAGACAGGAGTGACATGGATGGGTGGAGAAAGGAATAGAAGGCAGAAGGAGACAGGAACTGAGAGCTTTTGCCTCTGAGGATTAGTGGAGACAGGATTTTACCATTTCAAATGGATAGAGGTAAGATCTACTGTCTTGGCTGATTTGCTTCTCTGACCTTCAGCTTGAAGTTTGAACTCCAATATCTGTCTCTGGTTCTTTTATTTATTGTGCTACAAATTACCTTCTTTGTATGCTTGATGATCTGCTCTCTCAGCAAATTTCAGGTGTGAGGTATAGTATCATGTACTATATCAACTATATCAACAATTACCAAGTTAAATAAATGCTGTTGCTCTCCTTATAAGAGGACTGGTCTTGAGGGTTGAGGGTTGTGCTTTTTTTTTCTTTTTTTCTTTTTTTTTTTTTTGGTTTTTGGTTTTTGGTTTTTCCAGACAGGGTTTTTCTGTATTGTTTTGGAGACTGTCCTGGAACTTGCTCAGTAGACCAGGCTGGTCTTGAACTCACAGAAAGATCTGCCTGCCTCTGTCTCCCAAGTGCTGGGATTAAAGGCGTGTACCACCAACATCCAGCTGAGGGTTGTGCTTTTACTATTTTTATATATAGTTCATATAAGAAAATGATGTTTCTCTATCTGTTAAGGGCCTCCTAATACAAACAGTTCTTTCCCAATCAGCAGCAGCCTGTGGCCATCCATTAGTTTCTGAGGATATCTTCCTCTTTCTGCACAGCTCCAGAGTGAGTTTCTTATGTACTAAAGACTTTGTGTCAGTCAGGTCAGGAAGTCTACAATGGATAGTAGCTGGTTATGTCACATGAAAGTAAGATCCTATCTCTGATCACAAGACTCTTTGTTCACTAGGAGTACCCACTTCCTGCCTTTTTGTCCATATTCATTCACAATAAATTGGTTTCACAACTATTCTATGAGTGCAGTTGTGGCCAATCCTACTTTATGGTTATATAAAGTATAATTTTTGTCTGGCCACTTTAGGACTCAGAGTCCAAGCTATCATGAAAGAGAATTTGATTTCTTCTTGGATCTTCTCAAATGAGGCTTACTTTCTTTCATGGACATGGAGGTTGAAAATTAGATGTCCTGGTCATGCTACATCTGTCCAACAACCACTAGGACAGTAGAGAAATCAACCAAAGTAGAGATGAGCAGAACCAGACAGAAGATGAAACCCACGCAGATGCTGATAACAGAATCAACTTTCCATCAAGCTGCTCCAGAAACTAGACATTCTAGACTTTTCAGTTCTTTGAACTCATAAACTCACTTATTGCTTAACCAATTCACCTTAAGTATGCCACTGATCTTGTTGGTAATCCATCTTTAGGTACAAATCATGAACAGAGGAAAGACAGACAATGACATTTCTTGATGTGATACTTTTGACAAAATAACTGAGGGAACTTAATGGGAAAAGATTCATTCTGACTAATAGATTCAGTCCATAGCAATTGGCTCCAATGTTCCTGGTGAGTTCTTGATGAAGCAAAGCTGCTTATTTGGTAATAGTGAGGAAGCACAGACAGAAAATGAAGGCAAGACATGATGTCATAGACACTCTTGCAAAGACCCGCTCTTTCCAACTAGGTTCCAGCTCCTATGTTCCTGCTATGTCCTCACAGTCTATCAAAGTATTAACTCACAAATTGACTAATCTATTGATGAAGTAAGAGTCATCATTATCCCATTACTTCCCAAGAGTAGCCAATCAAGAATTACAAAGCTGGGTAGCATTTCAAAACCAAACTGTAGCAATGATATAGATTAGACTAAATGAGTAGTGCTGTGATTAACCATGTTCATTTAAGTCATTTGTTTAGTTCCTAAACTAGACAATATAGAGTGACCACAAAGTCTGAGAGCAAGCCAATATAATAAAACATTGGTTTTTATTAGAGCAACGCAAAATAATATTACTTCACACCTTATGGACACTACTATAGATTTTAACTTACCCTAAAATCTAGTTGAGAAATCAATTATGAATCAACATATGATATTAAATAATATGTGGACTTTGTTAGGAAAGAGCCTACTGCATGCAAGTGGAAAGGCTGATGAAAGATAGTGTGACAGACAGGCAGGAACAGAAAGAAAGTAGGAAGGAAAGAAGAGAAGAGACAATAGGTGGAAAGAAGTAACAAACAAGGAAAAGTAAACAAGGAAAGGGAAGACAGAGGAACAGAAACTACAAAAATTATTCAATAAATATTCCAGTTTGGGGAACATAAAATCAAAGAAACTACAGCAATTAAGAAGGAGAAGAAAAGAAGGAAGGAGAACTACCTATGGTTACCCTTCTTGTGATGTTCAGTGTGACATTAAAAGTGAGCAAATAAACAGCAGTAAAAATATATTCATCATACCTGTTAGGTTGGTGATATATAGATGTGTATAGTGGGTGTTATAAGGCAGAGCAGCAGGAACCTGGGTAGATAAGACTTCATAAGAAGACAGTCTTCAAGCTGGACCTTGACCATGGAGTCATTTCTGAAACAGGAAGCTCATGGAGCACAGCTGTGGGGTCTCAGTCAAGCCATACAATAGGGAAGTGGATTTGATCACATATGGTTTCTGTCTCTGTTTACTAATCATAAAGACATCCTTCATCTGGGATAATGACAGAAGGCAAGGGTCACATTGTGTTGTCTTTAGGCTTAGATGGAGCAAAGCTACTAGTTGGTACTGGTCAGAGATCACGGAGTTCAGAAGTCATTATGTCTTTAAGAGAAGTTAGAACTTTATCAAAAGTGTGACACTGTTGCCCACTAGTGCATTAATAATGAGAATGCCATGGAGGTAAATTGCTTTCTGTTTGAATTTGAGGTCTTCTCCACAGGAGGGATTTCTCTGATCAAAGCCCATAGTTCAGTAGACCCTAGACCCTAGGAGGGAACCTCGTGGTGGTGTTTGCTAAATGCTCATATTGTCAAACTGCCTTCTAAATATTTATCTTCACTTCCATAGATTAGAGCTACTCTCAAGCTTGTTCAAGTTTCTTTTTGCTTTGGGTAATAGTTTATGCAGAGACACACAATTGGTTATAGAGCTGAGAATACATGACTATTGAATGCTAAGTCATAAAAGGGATATTTGTATCATTCCTTCCCCTACCCCTTCAGAGGATCATGGAAGAGCAAGCCAGAAGAAGGTCAAAAGGCCCCTAACCCAGGGGACTTGGAGGACTGCATGAAACCCTATCTTCTGGACCTAGCATGGCCAATGTATTCATGAACTCTGAGCAACTGTGGCTACCAACACAAGAGCCACACAAGATCCAGTCCTTCAACATTCCAGCATGGATGGGAAACATCACATGAGTCTTCAACTCTAGCTGAAGAGTTAAAGACAATCAGTGACTGCTAAGGGGAGGAAGAGCTGTTTCAGTGATGTAGGCACTGATAAGTCATTTGTGATCCAGTAAATAACCCCTCACTCACACACATGCAAGCATCTCTAATTATGTCCAGTGGGTCACAAAAGCAAACAAACAAAAAAGATATGAAAACATAAGGGGGAATGTTGTGAAGAAGAATGTTCCCAGAGGTGGTGGGAACAGGGTAAGAGAGGGGGGTTGGGGAGATTGGCTATAACTAAAATACATTATATGAATGTATAAAATCTTCAAATAAATAAAACCTACCTTTAAGAAAAAGGTTCTATTTCTTTTCTATTATTATTATTATTGGTTTTACAAGACAGAGTTTCTCTGCGTAGTCCTGGCTGTCCTGAACTCACTCTGTAGAGCAGGCTGGCCTCAAACTCAGAGGTCCACCTGCCTCTGCTTCCTCATGCTGGGATTAAAGGAATGCACCACCACCACTGGGAAAGACCACATTTCTTTAAGGAAAACTAGATATTTTTTTGTTTGTTTGTTTTTTTGGTTTTACAAGACAGGGTTTCTCTGTGTTGTTTTGGAGGCTGTCGGTCCAGCCTGGCCTCGAACTCACAGAGATCCGCCTGCCTCTGCCCCGAGTGCTGGGATTAAAGGCGTGCGCCACCACCGCCCGGCTGGAAAACTAGATGTTTATCAGAGCATCTGTGACACCAAGAGGAATGGCTGGATGCTGCAATTTAAGATGACACTGAAGAAATGTCTGTGACCCTTTTAACAAGAGGAAGTGTGTGACTGTGGTCATGGTATAGACTGTCTTACACACTGGAGGGTATTCCTCTTTTGCCAGTGCAGGGAAGGTACATGACCATACCATTCCAGCAGAGATAACACCTGAGTCTGTGCTCCGGTTTCTACCTTGAGTTTTAACTATCTCCAAAACAACTGAGAGTATTTTCACTCTAAGGTAAAACAAGGAAAAGCATCTAGTTAAAATTCAGATTTTCCCAATGTCTTCTGATCATATTAACGCATGGACAATATAAGGTAAAATCAACAAGCCAATTTTGCCAGCTGTTTGTTATTTCCTACCTATTTTAAACTTGGACAGGTTCCATCTCTCTCCTCCAACCCACTCCCCGGTCAAATTCTCTCCCAGTTATTTCTTAAAGATGTTTAGAGATTGTCTTGAATGTTCCCTGACCTTGAAGTCTCATGTGTGAGAGCCTGTGAGAGATGCTCTTCCCATGATCACTTTCACCACAAGAATAGGAACTCTCTGTGTGGGATGCTCTCTTCTCATGATTTGAAAACTTCAAGCTTCTTATTAAGTCACCCACTGGTACCTTGGTCTCTTTGTAATGCCTAAGAAAAACAGTTCCCAGAAGAGCTCCGAAGCCTGTGATGACCTCATGGCTCTGAGCCTAAAGACAGAGGCTTCTAAAGATAGAGCCAATCATTCTCACAGAAAAAAATTGCAGAACAAGATATCCATGCTCCTGGTACAGGAGCATATATCACATGATACTAGCAGCTTGACATGTCACCCCAGCTTTGCTGAGATGTGGTCACTAAGAACAATGTCCGCCATATATATATAATGCATAACATAGTGTGCTTGGACACAGTGTACACCAGCATTTCCAAAAAGACACTGAGCGTACCCTGCAGCTCCACACAGTTCCTTTGGAAACCATTTGCTTTGTTTTTGCTTTGTGTAAAAAACAGATTATGATATTGGCTTCTTAAGCACTCAATGATTTAATTATAGACACAGTTTTATAGCAAACCTCTGAAACTTATTCCTATTTTATAACTGCACCTTTATGTCCCTCAAACATAATGTTGCCTCTATCCCCTAGTCATTATCAATCTGTCCTCTATTTCCTGTCTTTCATTCATATAAGAACCATATAGTATATGTAATCTGCTTCTTATTTCACCTAGCAAAATGTGTTTTGGGTCATTTATATTATTCTCTTTTAAAGGCTGAGCAATGTTCCACTGCACACATTTATGCACACATATCACATCTGTTCATCTGTCAGGGGATGTTTAGTTTGCTTCTAAGATTCAGCTTAGAATAATGCTGCCAAGAATTACAAGGACAGATACATGTTTGTGATCTTGATCTTATTTTTGATATACACCCAGAAGTATGACTGCTAAATCATATATTTAAACTTATAAGTAAATTTGGTACTGTTTGTCATAGCATCATTTCTGAGTTCACAATGCTCTGATTACTTCACAGTCTCAGTGACACCTGCTATTCATTTCACAATCCCCAACAAGTGACTCAGGGTGGTTTCAATCCATGTTTATCTGATTATTCCACTATATTAAGTGTCTTTTCAAAATTGTGAGTTCTTGGCACCCCTGTTCAAGTTCTGTTGTTCATAACAGCATAGAGTTATATTTGAGATGTCTAGATTGTTTCCTTTTTCTATGTCTATAGTTTGTCATTGTTAATCACTTCAGAGTTATATCTTAAAATCAGAGAGTATGATGTCAAGGTCTTCATTTATTTATGTATTATTTATTTCAGTTAAATAGCTTTGGCTGTTGGGTTCCTTGGCCACTCTATGTGCCTATTGAAGGTATTTTTTCTGCATAAAATTTCCTTAGAATTTTGATAGAGACTACACTAATATTTCTGCTAACTTGGCTCCACTGTGAAGAGGCCTCATGTTTTGACTCTGGTGAGGTCTGATAGCTGGGCTTTCTGGTCTTGTGAGGTCACTGTCTGGGTTTTATAATCCCTTGAAGCCAATTGGAATGGCTCCAAACTTAAGCATGTTTGGATGAAGGCTCATGGATCAAATCTGCCACGGAGGTCTCTGTTTAGACAAGGCTATTGCAACTCTGGAGTTTCTGCACTGACAGTGTTAGCTTTCCAGAGTCTCCCAAGTCTTCTTTGTTCACAGCTGTTGCTGCTTGTGTAGGGATGTAACTCTCCAAGTGTTCCATGGGAAGAGACAGAAAACTGAGCTTCCTAAGCAATGCCCTGGAACACTGGGAGGTAGACAACCAACCTTTGCCTCTGATTCCTTCATAAGAGAAAACACAGGCTAAGGGGATCACTCTGCTCTCTTGCTGGATATGTCATGTCCACTTTCTTCTCTCAGTGCTGGGACCACTGACTTGAAACTGCAGGCCCTGTGTATGCTGCCACAGTCTCTGTGAGTTCATCTGAAGATAAAACTTCAGTGCCTGTTGTATCTGGAAGGCACCATTTCCTTGGAATCATCCATCACCTCTGACTCTTAAAATCCTTGCGTCTTCTTCCATAGATGTCTGAGTGTCAAAGGACTTTGATGAGGGCATCCTATTTAGGGCTAAGTGCTCCAAAATCTCTCCCTCTCTGCTCTTACTACTAACCAAGAAGCACAAGAAGCTATGTGCAATTGATAGCTGCTTGCAAGAGAAAAATTGGTTTTCTCCAGTGGAGTTTCATTGGGTATATTAACCACACTTCAGGGCAGACCCCATGCACAGGAGTGGCTGGTCCCTACAAAATTAACTTGGTGGTATTTTTTGACCTTTTGTGTCATTTTGTTTTGATTTTGAATTTTTAGGAGCTTATGGGTTTTGTTTTATTTTTTGGCTTTTTAAGAGAGAGACACAGATAAAGAGAGAAGAAGAGAGGAAGGCAGGGAGGCAGGCAGGGAGGCAGGTAGGGAGGGAGGGAGGGAAGGAGGTGGAGAGGGAAAACATGATCAAAATATATTATATGACAAAACCTTTTTTATTTAAAAAACAAAAAAATGCTATTTCATCCCCGAGACACAGACTTTGCAGAGAGATACTTCATCTGAGGGAGTCACTGTGAGTTACTAGGACTGAAAGTCTCTTCTGTATTATGTAGTGATTTTTAAAATTAAAGACAAATGTTTTTAAAACTGCTTCTGTATTACTTGGGGGAATGATAAAGACTAATTTATTAGCTATTTCTGAATATGTTCTCTGAGTCATTTACCTTTCAATAATTCTACTCGTCTTAGGAAAATTTGTGAAGATCGTTTTGAAAGTGTTTTTTTTTCTTTTTTTCCAGTGATTACACTGAGAATAAGCCACAGTTCCTTTTTATTTTGTGAAAAATGGTTTGGGTTCTTCTCCTTTTTTGGTTTCATAGAAATTGATTAATATCTGAATTAGTTTTGCTTTTGTCATATTCATATTCCACTACTCAGAAGCTCTTCTAACTAACCTATGAATTGTGTTTACGACAAGTTTCAAATGTTGATTTTGTTAACTTTGTTTGAAAGAGTTTTTCAGGTAGTAAGAACATTTTATACTCAACCACATACATGCCATTGAATATTTTGGGTACAGTAAATGAATGTTTAGAGATGTTGTGCTAGTTGATTTCTGTGAACTTGACACAAACTATACATATCTGGGAAAAGGGAATCCATTTTTTTTAATAAACAACCTTTTTATTTTACATACCAATCCCAGTTCCTCCTCCTACTTCCCCTACCTTCCCCTCACCCATCCCCAGTCAGAGAAGATGAAGCCTCTCATGGGGAGTCAACAAAGTCTGTTTTATCACCTTGAGGCAGTATCAACGCCCTGCCGCCTGTATCTAGGCTGAGCAAAGTATCCCTCCATAAGGAATGGGCTCCAATAAGCCTGTTCTATGCAGTGGGATAGGTACTGGTACCACCGCCAGGGGCCCATAAACCACCCAAGCCACACAACTGTCTCCCACATTCAGAGGGCCTAGTACAGTCCCGCGCAGGTTCCCCAGTTGCCAGTCCAGAGTCAGTGAGCTTCCACTAGCTCAGGTCAGCTGTTTCTGTTGGTTTTCCCATCTTAGTCTTGACCCCTTTGCTTATATTATTGTTCTTCCCTCTCTTCAAGTGGACTCTGGGAGCTTAGCTCAGTGCTTAGCTGTGGATCTCTATATCTGCTTCCAGTGACTGGATGATGATAATTAAGGTAGCTATCAATCTGATTACAGGGAAAGGCCAATTCAGGTACCCTCTCCACTATTGCTTAGTTTTCCTTGGGGTCATTCTTGTGGATTACTAGGAATTTCCCTAGTGCCAGGTTTCCCATTAACCCCTTAATGGCTCCCTCTATCAAGATATCTCTTTTCTTGCTCCCCTCTCTGTCCTTGCCCCAACTTGACTAATCTATTCCCTCATATTCTCCTTCTCCTCCCCTCCTCCCATCTCCCTACCCTTCCAAACTCCACCCAAGGTCCTGATTTACTCAGGAGATCTTGTATATTTCCCCTCCTG